CTCTTCACTTGAGTCACCATCAGATACACATACACTTTTCAGAGCTGTGACATGTTTTGTAGACTCATCTTCTAATCCACTATCAGAATCTCTATCAGACCAAGTGACAGTTAGGCCTTTTTCCTTCTTTTTGAGATAGGTGGGACATTCCTTTCTTATGTGTCCATATCCCTCACACTCATGGCATTGTACTCCTTTACTTTGATTGGAATTTTCCTCTGACTTATCCCTTCTGCTACTTTCAGATGGGCTGTTCTTGGTGTATGGTTTGGACTTATGATCAATTCTTTTGATCAGTTTGTTGAATTGTCTTCCAAGCAAGGCTATTGCTTCTGACAGACTTTCCTTATTTTCACCATCTGAATCACTTGTAGTTTTTGAAACAAGAGCTATGCTTTTGTTCTTTTCTCTACAGCCTGATCATACATGCCCATCTCAAATGTTTGGAGAGAACCTATGAGTTCATCCACTTTCATGTTGCATATGTCTTGAGCTTCTTCAATGGTTGTGACCTTCATGGCAAACCTCTTAGGTAAGGATATGAGAATCTTCCTTACAAGCTTCTCTTCAGCCATCTTTTCTCCCAAGGCTCCAGAGGTGTTTGCAAGTTCAAGAACATTCATGTAAAACTCATGAATGGTCTCATCTTCCTTCATTCTCAGACCTTCAAATTTGGTGGTCAGCATTTGAAGTCTTGACATTTTGACCTTGGAAGTTCCCTCATGAGTAGTTCTGAGAGTGTCCCAAACATCCTTTGCTAGTTCACAGTGGTGTACCAGTCTAAAGATGTTTTTCTCTATACCATTGAAGAGCGCATTCAATGCTTTAGAATTCCCAAGAGCTAAGGCCTCTTGCTCTTTGTTCCGTTCCTCTTCAGGAATTAACACATCTACTCCATCCTTGTCAATCTTTACAAGATGTTTCCAGCCAGAGTTTGCAGCTCTCCAAGCCTTGCTGTCTAATGATTTTAGGAATGCAATCATCCTAGGTTTCCAATAGTCATAATTAGAATCATCCAGAATTAGAGGTTTATTAGTGAATCCTATATCTTTATCCATAGTACCCGAATTTATTTTCCTAGATCTCACCCAGAATAAACAGGCAGGGTGCCTGCTCTGATGCTAATTGAAATTCTGGCAAGCACACGATGGATGTTATTGCCAAATTTATAACATCCACTGTGACATTGACTATTGTACTAAATAATTAAACTGTAAGTAAAAGCAGTAAATAACACATCACTTGTTCACCCAGTTCAGTGTCAACAACACCTACATCTGGGGGCTACCAAGCTAGGGAGGAAACTCACTATTAGCATAATCAATTCAAAGTCAAACAACCAGTTTGCACTTCTCACTTAATCTCTACCCAGTGACACTTCAACCTAGAGACACTCTAGACCTGAGTATTTCCACTCATTCCCCCTCAATCACACCACAATGATATCCAATTACAGTTTCAGAATAAAGATGAAGACACACTTCATACACACCTTGATCTTGCTTCAAAACTTTGATCAAGGGACACACACTCTCTTGCTTAAAAGCTTTGAGTGAGACACAACTTAGAACCTACCTAACCAATGCAGCTGACAGTTGCTTGGTAAACAAGTACTCCTAAGACTCAATTCACATGTGAAGAAAACACTTTCTTCACTCACACTACTCACGTGAAGAACAACCTTCTTCACTCACAAGGACTCTGTAATCTGCACTCTCTGATCTTCTGTCTAGAGCTTGATTTCTAGGATTTCTCCTTCTGATATTTATAGTGCAGTAAGTCCTTTGAACCTTGGTGCATATAGTTAGGTTTAATCATAACAAACCCTACTCTTTAATTCTCTGCACGCTTGCCCTTTAATTTAGGAACATTTGTTTCGCTTTAGTGCTTCTCAAATGTCTCCTGTCTTTCAGCTTGAGCTCCTGATTTGATTCTTGATTTCTAGATACCAGAAAAACTAACTTGCCCGCTGGATGTCATACGGTCAGTGTCATGACATTCTGTATGACATTCAGCTTAACTCATAGTTAACTTACCCTGCACACACATCATTAAGTATGTCCTAACATTCAGTATGACATACATGCAAACTCTAAAGTTTTGCCACAAAATGCAGCCAATCAAGAGAACTTACAGATATTATACATGATCCGAATCAATTATCAAAAGCATCAAAATTCAAATGTTCTAACTTGTGATTCAAGTTACTCATGTGGAAATGACAAAGCAGTAACTTTCAAAGACTCAAAAAGTAAATAGCTAATAATGATCAACTAATTTAATATGAAATGCAAAGGGTTCTTAGTGGCACAGTTACATAACCAAACGATTACAATAATTAGAAAGAAAGATTACAATCACACGAATGAATTGAAATAGCATACAAATTAAAAATGCGCAATGAAATAATAATCGAATTGTAAAACATCAAAATTCAATAGATACTTAAAGCATGTAAAAGATACCAAATGATACTATGTGCTTCCAATGCTCACGTCTCTTCAGAGAGCTAGTGATTTGTTCTATTGTCAAGTTGTTCAAATTTTTGGCCTCTTAAGTAATATCGACCTTGAGTCTCTATCTGGCAGGAAGACTTTTGAGAATCTTTTTCACATAATTTGTGGTAGTGTAACTTTTTTTAGGACCTAGAGTCCATAAACTAAAGTTTGGAACCTAGTGAATATAGTCGTAATGTCTACGTCATTCTTCATCTTGAACAAATCATACTTCTTAATTAAAAGCTTAGATTTGTTTTTTTTTTTTTTTTGACATTCTTTGTATGTGATGAGTAGAGAATCATAAATGTTTTTGACAGTACGCAGATCAAATTTTTTGGGAAATTCCCCGAAAGAGATAATGTTCACCATCATGGCTTTTGATTTATGATGAAGTTTATATTTATTCTAATCCTCTGGTGATAGTCATTTTCTGTTTGTAGAAGCTCCTTTCTTATTGACAGGTATAATATGACCATCTTCAATTATGTCTCAAAGAGCTTCATCATCTTGAGAGATAAACTATAAAATTATCACTCCACTAGGAAATATGAGTGGTTTAGATATAAGGGAATATTTAGAAGAACCAGAGGTAGGTTTATTAGCCATAATAGTCATGTTTTTTAGATGATCTTTTACTTTTACATGTTTAAGTGTTCAAATAAGAGTCTAGTGCACTTATGCTATCTAAAGGTGAGAAAAACACAAAAAATAAGAATAGATGATTTGTACAAGTTTATTTTTTATTTTTTATTCTACAACAAAAAGAGTAATGCAGCAGAAAGTAAAGAGAATAGAGAGTAAAATCACACACATAATTTATATTAATTCACCTTATTAACTAAAGGCTAATCTAGTACCCTAACACTTGAGAAATTTCCACTATAATCACATACGATTACAAACAATCATTAGGACAATTGTATAAAGCATTATCTACTCATTCGGTATACTGTTTCTTATCCTTACGATTACAAACAATCATTAGGACAATTGTATAAAGCATTATCTACTCATTCGGTATACTGATTCTTATCCTTATATTCTTTGTATTGACACAATTGTCATGATGTGATCGTTGAGAACCTTTTCTATGGTGTTATAACACAACATGTCTTCATTATTGAGGTGCATGTGATTAGTTCTTTATCTCGGCATAGATGTCCACTTGCGTTTAGAACATGAGATCTCGTATGTGTGTACAAATGATCATTTTTTCTTGATGTGTAGATGGCCATGTTAGCTTGATACACATGGTTAACTTTATTGACTTAAACATAGATAATCATTCCCTTTCACGTCATTTTCTCTAACTGTGTGCAAATGATCACTTGGTCAATTTTATTGATTTTGGTGCAAATGATTATTCCTTTTGTCTAAGTATAGATGATCATATATATTTGAGGTCTAGGTGGTAAAACTTGTTGACTCTAATACAATTGATAATTTATTTTTTTAAACATTTACAAATTATTCTACACATGAAAACAAATACATTAAAGTATTAGGCTCTGTTTGGTAAGCCCAAATTTCGAGCTTATAACTTATAAACTTATATGACAATTTAGATCTTTCTGGGTAATAATTTTTTTTCACGGGCTTATAGCTTATTTTATTAGCTTATAACTTATTGTTCAGACGCTATTTCAAATAGCATTTTAACTTATAGTTTATAACTCATCATCTTTTATTTCATTTTAATCCTTATTATTTTAACAAAAACTATTTTTTATCCTTTATAATTTATTTTAGTTTAAAATAAAATAAATATGTATTAAATATCTTTTATGTCAACTGTTAATTTTTACCAAACACTTCAATTAACTTATGAGCTATCAGTTATCAACCATCCGCTATAAACTATCAACCATCGGTCATCAAATTAATTTTTAAGTCCACTGCTATTTTTACTAAACAAAACCTTAATTGTTCTTAATTATATTATTTTCACGATTCAAAATTATTGTTCTTTAAAATATATTTAATTTAATAATATCTCTCTCTTTTTTTAATTATGATAACAAATATATTAGTCAATTCACATGTTGTGTGGCAGTATTGTAATTGTAATTCCTTGATTGTATGATAATGTGTATAAATTAAGTACTATACACTTTTAATATATATTTTCTTAATTAGTTCTAGCAATCACATCACATGATTACACCCATTCATGAAAATGTTTTTTTTTTTACATATATCATGAAGCCTTGATTTTGATATTTTTATTCTCTCTTAAAATTAAAAAAAAATACATTAATTATATTTAAACATGATATTTATAATATTGGAGGGAAAGAGTTAAAAAGCATGAACAAAAGCTGACAAAGGTCACAATTGATTACAGCTACATACATACATACAACACACAGACTATATGTGAGAGAGAGAGAGAGACAAACATTCATCCTTTTCCTCTCTCTCTCTCTCTCTCTCTCTCTCTCTAGATCGCTGTGCTGTGGTTCACTTCACTTCAGCTATGCAGCACAATGAGATGTGTATCCAATGGCGCTACTGACAATGGTTCACTCTCACAACAACACTGGTGGGACCCAACACGATCTCAAACCAGTCCTCCGTGATTTTCTCGGCATGAAACCATCACCATCACCATCCTCCGCCGCTCCTCCCGCCCCTTTCTCCTCCACCTCTGAAATCGCTTCCGGTAACTGCTCAACAAAAATACTTTTTTTCTCTCTCACTACATTATTATTAATATTCCTTCCCCATTAAACCCTTAATTCCTCTTTTTTATATTCAATTCATTCTCATCCACCAATTTCTCTCTCTTACTAGGGTATCAATTTCATCAATTAATCAATATATGTGATTTCTTACTTATTCTATGAAAGCTTATAATTATTGTAAACACATTATTTTTGGTAAGTTTCTATGTTATCTTTAAAGGGATTGTATTGTAATTTGTAATGTTTTCATCCTCATCAATTTGGTAGAAAAGCAGGTACCAAATCATCTTGAGGGAGTTCCATACTATGGCCCAAGAACTGATTTTTCTACCACTGAGATAACTAACAGACTAGTGGGGAACAAGAGAACTAATTCTGATTCCTCTTTTATTGGTTCCTCTAGAGATGCCTTCCATATGGTCCCTGATTCCTTTCAAAATTCACATTTGATGAAGGTTACTTTGAATTATCATCACTTCATTATTGTTATTCTGTGATATATTCTATTGTTTTCTTTAATGTCTAACTCATGGTTTCGAACAGGTTCTTCGACATGTGTCTGGAGGAGAGAGATCTAGAAGGCCTAATGACGATGAAGTGTTACTTGGTATGCAGTCAATGAAGCCATCTTCTAGTTCTCAGATATTTCATCCTCCCACTAGTACTATGATTGACGCCAATAAATGGGATCGGTCTGTTCTCATGAATGCTGGCCCTTCCATGCAGCATCTTCCGCGTGGAGGACAGATGGCTCCTTTTGCTCACCAATTAGCTTCAACTTCAAACAAGATTAGAGATACCAATGTCGGCCCTTCGTTCATCTCTCAGTTTGCTGCCGATGAGGGATCCAGGACTGGAATCAAGGGCCCCGGAGTTTTAAGTTCCATAAACACATCTGCTACTGCTAGTGATAAAATTTCATCTGCCGTGCTGCTGGGTGGAAGCAGGCCAAAGCCGTTAACTAATATAATTGAATCATCCACACCCCAAAGGTAAATCTATCTTATAAATACAGTTGCTTAATTCACCTTGATTTTGTTTATTTTCACTCCTTTTACATTGGAAAAAAGGAGAATTTGCTTGACTTTATGCATTTTGGTATTGACAGCAGTCAACATGGGCTAACACCTGCCAGCCGCCAGATGACTATCTTCTACGGAGGTCAAGCTCATGTTTTTGATGATGTCCACCCACATAAGGTCAGGCCCTCTATTCTTGACATGGTGTATTTGTTTACTGCATTTAGTGAAATAGGGCCTGGAATTAGTTTGTATTTATGAGTTATCACGTTGAAACAATTTGTGCCTTAGAAACATGGTGTGTGGTGTACTTGTGGTTGGTTAAACTCATTGGATTTCAGCTTACAAACAGTATAGGTACTTGGAGTTGGCCTCCCTATCACACCTGTGTTGCAGTTTCGACAACTTATTTTGGCTAGTCATTGCACAGTATAGTGGATGTGCTCAACCTATAATATTTGATAGAAAAGTCTTCATAGGATTAGGCATCAATAATAGATTTGCTTATGCTTTGGTACGCTGGTAGAGTCGCTTTTGAGAACAGTATTTTCTCCTACTCGTTTGAAAAGTTACTTAAGGCTGTCTTCAGAGTTTCAAAATATATTATTGAAGTATCAGAAACATCATTGTCAGTTTCAAATCAAAATCCAGTGAGGATCTGTTAAATTGTTACATCCTAAATTCTGACTTGGTAATTTGTTTGATCACTAAGCCTTATCCTACAATGTTGGGCCAACTACATGGATCAATAAATATCTTTGGGCTTTATCAAAACCAATTTTTCAATAAAATCATTTAGGGCAGAGTTAGCTGGCATTCACTTTAATGGTTCACCCATTTTCTTAGGTTTTCTTTGTCTAGTTTTCATAATAGCTCACTTTGAATATTAAATCATGAGCAAGGTATTATGTTCTTGGAATGGAAGTTTTCAAGAGCATATAATTTAACTTGGCCTTGAAATCTTTGTAAGTCATAACAGAAGGTCTTATCTCTTTGATTCTGTTGGGTCATTCTTATCTGAAAATTTATGCATGCACAAATAGGCAGTAGGGTTTAATGTGTTATCATGACTTTTGCATGCTCTTTGGTGTATGCAGGCAGATGTTATAATGGCTTTGGCCGGGTCAAATGGAGGATCTTGGTCTACAGCATTTTCGCCGAAATCTACTGCAAAGCTGGTTAATGATAGTACTTTGCATAGTGGTGAAAATGAAGCAGGATTAATGAATAATGTACCATTCCCACAAGAGCTTCATGGGAAGTTGCCTGTAACTGGCAGTTCTAGTCGTGCTGTTGGACCTGGTGATCGTGTATCTACTCCAACCGGTAAGCCTCTAGCATACTACCATAGTTTGATTTGGCTACTTTATAGTTTATAATAATGTCATATAATATCTTTTCATCATTTTGGTTGTCAAAGTTTCATTTCTTTTAATCTTTTTTATTTGTTATTGATTGATTGCTAAATATCTGGTTGATAGGGGCACATCAAGGAAGCATATTTCCTAAAGATACAAGAAATTCAATTCAAGCAGCAGACCCGAGTTCCGAAGAAAAAAGAGCACTCTGAATAGAGTTTTAGGCTGAAATGCTTTTCAGCTCCTATTCAATTAAAGTCTCAAGAGCTTTCTCTTATTTCTGATTACTATTGGGTATCAGTATCATCCTCTTTTGTCAAATTTTCTCATGATCATTACAGCTCTTTTAGAAAGAAAAAAATGGTTGTGTGAGGAGCAAGAGTATGATGATTGTTTAAAAGGCCTAACAGATACATCAGCTAAATTTATGAATGTTTCAATATGAAAAAATACCTTATTTTGCAGTTTCTAAACCAGTTACTTTATCAGGCCAAGCAGCTCCTGGTATTATGATAGGAATAACAGCCTTACTTCTTTAGAATGCTGTTCAATAGAATCAGAGTTACAGAGAGGAACTTAAAGCTAACTTATTTTGTGTTATATTTTGTATGAAGATTTAGTCAGTATTCTAAACTTATCTCGCAACATGTTCAATAGTACGAAGAACAGTTGTACGATGTATGAACAAATATGACTGATCATTAATCCATTGCTTTTTCTAACCAAATTATTCTTGTCTTTCAAAAAACTTGTCTGTTTATCAATCTCTTATATTTGAAATCACTTCAATGATCTGCAAAAAGTTATTAGCAGGAACTTGGCTTCTAGACATGTCCCAATTATATAATTTCTACTGATAGCAAGTGTTGAAACTCTAGTTCACACAGCTCAACTTCCTACTGTAAGGTAAAATTCATTGATCTACTATTGAACAGACGCATTCATTGCCCATCAAAGAAGCCACCACTATATTATTAAAAGAGAATAGTACTCTATAAAAATTAAAAAATGCTTCTTTGAATTCGAAAGGATATTTCCGGACGCACTCAAATATATTAAATTTATGCTTATGTGAACTACATTCTCATTTTTAAAAATAAAAAAAAAATTCAGAAATATACTTTCCAAATAATTTTGGAAGTATACATCCATAGGATTACTTTGTTACACATATTGCAAGGAAGGAACATGACTAACTTGACTACAGATAATCTATTTTAACGAAGTGGCAAATAAAGTAATGTAGTGTAAGCTGTCAGCTGTAGCACGACACTAAGTGCTTGTTTTATTGAAAATTGTTTTCTTAATAGTGAAAACAAGTTTGGAATTGCCATTCACTCATTTAGAGATTCAACTTTGAACGCAGACAAACTACATCAAAATGTATCATCCGTGGGTAATTATAAGGAGAAATTACTTTGGAGATGTGTTTTGAACTGGGCTCAGGTCTGCCCATCCGTCGGGCAGGCCCAACTCGACGCTATTTGGGGAATGTCCAAATAGGCCCAAATCACTTAGTGTTGGGCATAGTTCCCTCCGTCAGGTAGAACCCCCACGCCTTCCACACGTTCTCCATGTGTTCCCCCTGCGGGGACACGTCATCAGACAACTACCCATCTCTGAAAGAGCTGGTCAGCCCACCTTTCGAAGATCACAGGACGGTTGAACTAGGGCGAATACCACATGCTGATATTCACTACACCATGTAAGCCTTAGCAGTCACTTGGGTTGGGTCTGACAATCCAGCCCAACACAAGTGACCGTTGGCCCTGCGCTGGGGTCTCACTATAAATACCATCTTTCACTAGAGGGTCAGATATTCACTTTTTAATCTCTTCTTTGTATTTGCTCTCACTCTGGTCCATTACTTACTTTGGCATCGGAGTGTCTTGCAGGTACACCCCCTCCTCCTCCTTACTTCCGGTGGACAACTCTCAGATTGACGACACGTGGCAGGCCACTAACTCCCTTCTGATCAGGTCAGATCAAGATGCATCTCTGAAAACTCATTAAATAATTTCAGAACAATGTCATTATCCAAATATTATAATTTTTTGAGGTCAAGTTATATTATTGAAAAATTAAAGTAAAATCAAGTTTAATTAAAAGTAAATGAAAGTAAAAAAGTCATATATTAATGCAAAAATGCAACACCATATCCTTCTTCGACTATATTGCACGATATTTTGTAACTCGACAATCATGTTCTCCACAAAGATCGACTAATGACTGCCATCCTCAAGAGTTCTGACTCTATGTGTGCTCTACCCATCTCCACAACACGTCGACAGACCACCGCCACACTCTCGGCCCGATCATCTTGAGCTTTAAGTACCTCATGGTGAGCTGACCTAAATGATAAAGTGCGACACCGTATAGAATAAGATCATGTAGCCGCCAACAACATGACTTTAGGACTATCTAAAGGAGCATCGACATTGACCTCCTCATGCGCTTTAGAGGCTTCAATAACTTCAAGAACTTTAGGATCTGGTGCATCATATGTCTGAGAGAGTTGGCTATGAGAACTAGACACTTGGGAACCTCGAGGATGCGAAGTAGATGTAATGTCAAACAAGTTATCAGCAACTCGTAGCCTCGTGGTCTTCACTGCAACACTCTCATGTCATACCAACGCGGTTTGAGACACATGCCTGAGCTTAATTCAACCAATGTTGTTTCCAGCCATTGCACATGCATTAGAAAAAGAGACAAATATAATCAACATGTTCGGAGAAATTCACAAATTCCATAAAATCAACCAATTTTTTGCTCGAGTCTAATATGGAGATGTATCTCTGAAAACAATGTAGACCAAATCCAAATATGCATTTTCGAACAAACCTGTGATTATCCCGGCTATGACAGATACACCATTTATGCCCTAACAATCCCAAAATATCTCAATGATATTCTTCTAGCTACCAAAATCGTTTATACTACTATCTAATATACCTAAAACAACTAATGTAGCTTAAACAACTAACTACAAACCAAAACATAAATAATGATGAAATTATAAAAACTTACCAAATCAAATTGAATGTATGAGTTATGAAATGCTGAAAATGAGGAGTTAGAGCTTCAATGGTAGAAGTTTGCTACAAAGAGAAGTTTGAATGAGACATGGAGCTCAAAAGCGTCCAGGAATGCATATCCGGATCACCCACTAATTTTTGAATAAATGGTATTTACGGAGATGCATCTTTCGACACACTTTTTTACACATACGAAGATGTATTTATGAATTTTTTTTTTGATACAATAAGAAAGCCTCATTAGTTTTGGTCTAAAAAATAGTTAAAATTGTACGTTCGAAAATATATTTTCAAAGTGTGATATATAGTTTAGAAATATATCTTCGAACTTTTCAGTGTGATATATAATAACTCGTAAAAGTAGAAAGAACAAACTCCAATTTTAAAACTGGAGAGAAAGCATCAGTGTTAATTGAAAAAGTGGAACAAGCAATGTACTATTATTATATACTTGGATTTATATAATATTGGACATTAAGTAAGAGAAGTAATCAAGTATACTTTTAGATTTATTTCTAAAATATTTTTTAAAATTATTTTTTTTTAACATGCGACTCATTTACATATCAATTTAGTGTAATTAAAGTATGTTTGAAAATGCAATTCTAAATTTTAAAACGTGTAATTAAAATATGTTTGAAATGTAAAACGTGTAATTAAAGTAAGAAAAACAAGAATAGCAAGAGAAAGACAAAAGCTTGCTAAAATTTTGGGGAAAAAAAATTAAATGCAGTTTTAATCCTTATAATTTAAATTTTATTACTTATTATTTTAAATGTAAAACAAAATATCATTGAGAGAACCACAATTTTTCCCCACACAAAATGTGTGTATAAATATTCTAATTGTTGTATGCTCATAAGTCATAAATCAATTGATGTGTAAAATACAAGAAATAGTACTTTATCACATGAATGAATAATCCTTATAATGTTTCCAGAAAATATTATAAATTTCTTTCAATACTAAATCACTTTAAAAGGACATTGAATTTACAAGGTGACAAGAGATGTCACTGACATAAATTTTCATTCAAATCATACCATTCATTTGATCATCATTCATCACTTCAATATTATGTTTATTATTATTAATGAAGCTTCTTAAAATTAAATTCAATGGTAAATTAATATCATTCCTGGATTTTTTAGCTAGTGGTGCTTTCCTTTTTAATAGTGTGTTATGCTAAGATGTAAAGGAAATTAATAAAAAAAAAAAATTTATGTTTGGTTTTAGTTTATAGTCTCTAGAATTGACTTTAAAGATATAAAATTGATTTTAATATATTTGATTATTTTTAAGTAGAATAATTTGAAGTTAGAATTTATAGGTATGATATTTTTTTACTACAATTTATTGTTAACTTACTTTTATTTAAATTTGTTTAAATATAAATAATTTTACATTTACATTATCATCAATTATTATTTAAAATTTATTTTTAAGATCCATAATTATTTAATTTTATTATTAAATCTTTTAATAGTAAAATTTAAAATTTATTTTTAAAATCCATAATTATTTATTAAAATATAACTACTAAAATTCACATTATCATCAATAATATACGTCTATTGTATAATTCACACACAAAAATCAATCCATGAAATTAGATAAAATAAAAATAGTATGGTTGATATTCATGTGCTTAATGTTTACTTGATAAGAAAATATTATCATAATGTTTACAAGTTTTTGTCCCCTATTTTTGTCATTTAGCTATTCCCTTTCTCCTAAATTATAAGTCACTTTGTCAAAATAATTTGTTTCAAATTATAAGTTATTTTGCATTCCCAATGTAATATTAATTATATTTTCTTTGATATACCCTCAAATATTTATTATTATTTATTCTTTCAACTTTTTTTAATTTCTCTCTTCTGTATAATTATGAGGAGCATTACTGTAAAGTTATATATAATTTGTTTTTGCTATAAAGTAATAATTAAGTTTCTTAATTTGTGTGAAATAACAAAAACGTCTTATAATTTAAGACGAAAGTAATAATAACGAAAGAAAAAGTACATTACATCTAAAATTCAAAAGTATAAAGACAAGATAAAAAATAATAGAGTACTATAAGTATTATCATCGAAAAAACACTTTTTTCTTCTCAAGATATACATGACACTTAATATTGTAAAAAAAATATTAAAATCCAAGACAACAATCTA